AAGGAAGGAGCAGGACTAGGAGAAGGCGGAAGACCAAGAACCTGCTCAAGGAGCGGAACGAAGTACGGCCGCGGCCGCGCAGCACCTCCAGAACCAGCAGGGACAACACCAGTACCCCCAGCGTCAGCTCCAACTCCAGCAGCACCACCAGCTCCAGTACCTCCAGCAGCTCCAGCTCCAGCAGGACCACCAGCAGACACAGCCGCTCCGGCTCCAGTACCTCCAGTAGCACCCACTCCAGCAGCACCACCAGCTCCAGCTCCACCAGTAGCTCCAGCACCAGGAGCACCACCAGGCCCAGCAGCTCCAGTACCTCCAGTACGAGCACCTCCGGGACCCGTGGCTCCAGCACCCCCAGCAGAAGCAGAACCTCCAGTACCGGCTCCAGCAGTACCTCCAGCTCCAGAACCTCTAGCAGCAGCAGAATCTCCAGCTCCAGCAGCACGGCTCCAGCGGCGAGCAAACCACTCGCGCAGCTCCTGTGGAGAGGGAAGCTTCCGCCGGGACAAAGCACCCGAAGGACCGCCAGGTCCAGCACCGACAGGCTCCACACCCCCACTCCCAGCAGCCCCAGGCTCAGCACCCCCAGAATCAGCACCCCCAGGCCCCTCACGCTCAGGCTCAGCACCCCCAGACCCAGCACCCCCAGGCTCCGCACGCTCAGGCTCAGCACCCCCAGACCCAGCACCCCCAGGCTCCGCACGCTCAGGCTCAGTACCCCCAGACGCACCAGAGTCAGCAGCTACCTTGACAGGCTCGACTGCATCTACCTGGGACACACCTGAGGGGGCAGGACCCTGAGGGGGGAGGGGGTCTACCGGGGGGGGACCGGGAGCGAGGAAGAGCGGCGGGAGGGGGAGGGGGGCAGTGCGGTAGGGGAAGAGACGGTAGTACGGAACCGACTCGTCAAACGTGACGTCCTGGGAGGACAGAACACGACGCGAGGTGGGGTGGTAAAACTGCCAACCAGGCGCGTCAGGGGGAAAGCCAAGGAAGACGCAAGGAACAGCATGGGAGGACAGCTTGTCCGCAGACAAGTCTCGGACAAAAGCTCGAGATCCCCAGACACGGAACGCAGACGCATCTCCAACCTTCCCCGTCCACCGCAGAGTAGGGGAGGTCTCCGGCAGGGAGACCCGGGGCTGAAGGTTGATCTGATGCGCCGCGTACTGAACCGCGAACGGCCACAGAAAATGGGGAGCAGCCGCATGGATCATGGACGTACGAGCGACATCCATGACCATGCCAATGCGGCGCTCAGCAATCCCATTTGGCTGTGGAGAGGCCGGAAGCGTGAACGTCTGGCGGATGCCCTCCGTACGACAGAAGGCTCGCAGAAGGTCGGTGGAAAACTCTCCGCCTCTGTCGGAGTGCAGACGCAGAACAGGAAAGTCCGAGCCGAAACGCTCTCTGAGCTGGAGACGAGCAACGCGGATCCAGTCGATCAACACCTCAGTGACCTCACCCTTGCTGCGCAAGGGGAAGACAGTGGTGTAACGCGAGTAGTCGTCAACCACCAGCAGGAAGTAACGCTCGTGACCCTGTCCACGGACGCGGGCTGGGCCCCACACGTCCATGTGAAGAGTCTGCAGCGGAGCCTCTGTCGGGGGAAACTCGGAGGAGTGAGGAGCGGCGCGCTGCCGCCCCTCGACGCAGGGAACGCAGGTAGGGGCAGGCCCTAGGGGAAGGGGAGGGAGGGACCGGGGGAGACCAGAGACAAGGACACGGGAGGCCATGCCTCGGAGACGAGGCAAGGAGGGGTGACCAAGGCGGTGGTGCCAGAGGAGGGTCTGGTGGGACAGGAGGCGACACGAGCAGGGGGCAGACTCAGGACCTGACCGAGACGCTGCAGCAAACACCTGACTCGACTCAGCTACCTGACCAGACGCAGCAACCGGAGAAGACTCTGTGGTCAGTGTGTACAGGCTCGACCCCGGTCGACGGGTAAACGAGGCCAAGTGGCGGCCCGTCTGAGCACACGTGCAGTCGGTCACTCGCTGACCTGCAGGAGTGAACTGGTCAACTCCGGCATCCTGAAGGTCAGCACCACTCACCAAGTTCGTGGAGAACGAGGGGAGGTAGAGACCAGACAGGGAGCCTGACGGGGCCGCCGGACACGGGAGGACAGTGGAGTAGCGAGCAAGGACAGGACCCGCAGAGGGGTCTGCCAGGGAGACCGCAACCGGCCGACTGAGCGGTGTAAGGGTGGTGCGGTCTCGAAAGAAGGAGCGGGAAGCACCCGAGTCGAGGGTGAAGGTGTGAAAGACCTGAGCAGACTCGGTACCTGAGAGAGCAGACTCACCAGCACCTAGAGCAGCAGACTCACGAGTACCTGGAGCAGCAGACTCACTAGCACCTAGGGCAGCAGCCTCAATACCAGGGTCAGGCGGAACACACACGTAACAGTCACCCCCAGCACTAATAGACACAGCATACATGGCAGCAAGAATAGCATCAAAGTCAAGATCAAAGATAGCTACCCCCGACCTGAATAGATCTCCCCAACGAGGGATCTCAGTGGCATCCGGGAACTGGGCACGCCAGGCGTCCGTCAGGCGACCGAAGCAGCGCTGGGTGGCGTGCAGGCCGCCACACTGCTCTCCAGTGCGGTCACCGGAACGCAGGACGTAAGTACAGGGACCAGCACCTCCAGACCCCTGGCGCCCCGCGTACCACTCACGAAGCTGCTGGGGCGAAGGGGTCTCACGAGAGCGCTGCTGCTGCTGGGGTCCCCGCTGCACAGCTCCGCCTCTGCCAGCTCCACCTCCGCCGCCGCCGCCTCCGCCTCCTCCACCCCTCCCGCCACCGCCACCGCCACCTCCACCTCCACCGCCGCCACCGAAGCCCCCACCTCTACCACCACCCCCACCCCCACCCCCTCCTCCGCCTCCACCGCCACTACCGCCGCCCCCACCACCTCCTCCAGCTCCCTTGCCCCGCTTGCCCTTGCTGATGCGGCGCCTCTCACTAGGAGCAGACGCAGCGCTGACCGACTCGGTGCCAACAAGGTCGACAGCAGCAGCAGAGGCAACAGAGGGCGAAAGAGGAACGGGGGAGCACCCCTCAAAGAAAGGGGTACGGGGGTCACCACGAGAGGCGCCTACAGTGGTGATACTAGTCTCTGCTGCAAGGAGGCGCTCCTCTAGGAGGTCGACACTGAGGGTGGTAGGGCAAAGAGAGAGGAAGTGGTCCCTGACCGAGCGGAGAGTGTCAGGGAGTCGAGTGACTAGGTAGTAGAGGGTGATGTACATGGGGGGGGGGTTCTGGGCGCAGAACTCAGCAGGAAGTGCAGCGCGGTAGCGAGTGTCACTATTGCGGAGGTGCGTAATGAGGTCAGTGACTGTGGCAAAAGCAGCGAGGTCAGGGAACAGGTACGGTAGCATGAGGCGGCTAAGCACAGCAGTGGCAGGGGAAGAGTAACGTGCAACTACTGCGTCGTACAGAGTCTTAGCACTCTTGTACTGACTAAAGTGCGTGCGCTCAGTAGACGGTAGGTGACTACGCACAGCAAGGCGGGCAGCAGCATCGCGCGTGAGCCACTGCGAGCGAACGGTACTGTCAGCATCAGCAGCAGGGGCAGTAGAGGCGCCCGACGTAAGATCAAACAGGGAGAGACCATCCTTGCTATCGCACTGAAGGAAAAGCTGCAGATCATCTAGCCAGACATCAAAGTCAACCGCTCGACCCTCAGCATCAAAGGTGAGAAGACTAGGACTAGCCATGATAGGAGCAGCAGCAGACTAGCAGCGGCAGCAGTGCAACGGAGCGAGGCAGGACAGTGCGACTCGGCAGGGCGACTCGGCAAAGCAGTGCGGCTCGGCCGCGCGGCTCGGCCCGGCTAGGCTCTTACCAGGGGCGGAGCCGACAGGTCCGGGACTGGGTCGGGGCCGTGACAGGGCCGGGACAGGGTCGGGGCCGGGGCAGGTCCGGGACGTAGCCTTTTAGGGGCGGCGTAGGGGCCGCGTAGGGGCCGCGTCAGGTACGGGGCCGGGTCGGGCCGTGTAGGGGCCACGTAGGAGCCGCGTAGGGGCGGCGTAGGGGCCGCGTAGGGGCCGCGTCAGGGACGGGGCCGGATCGGGCCGTTTAGGGGCGGCGTAGGGGCCGCGTAGGGGCCGCGTAGGGGCCGCGTGGGGGGCAGGGCCCAAAATTGGTTTTGGGGCACCCTGCCATATCAGGGTCCCCCAGAGCCCTTTGCCTGACAGTCAGGGTGGATTTTTTTTTGCCCGGTGCTAGTCAGTGTGTTTTGGCTAGTATCCTGTCTTTGTAAGGCTATTTATGAAACCACCCTGTGTGCTAGGGAAAATCAAAATGCCACTACTGCTTCCCCTACATGCAACCATACATAACCCACCACTAACAAAAGATTGCATCACTCATTCTCTGGTCCCTCCTGGTGCTCTGTACTTGCAGTTGTGTCAGGGACTGCTGCAGGGTTAAACTGAGTATCACTTGGGTTGCTGCCAGTGAAGTCTCGGATTGGCCGCCTGTGTCTGTCGCCACGGAAGATGCGTGCGACATCGAACCAGTCCACGGTGTACTCAAGGAGAGAGCAGCGCCTGAGGTGTCCCAGTGATGTGTCTGAGATGCTGCCCCGGCCCCACGTCTTGATAATGTTCTGCTTGCTGAACCCCCTCTCGCACTCCACCGTGCTCAGAGGCAGCACAGCGACTGCTTGCCACATGAGCATGATGTTGGGGTAGGAGCGCTGCCACTGGTCGTCGCGCAGAGTGTTGCTGAGCGCCTGATGGAAATCTTCGTCATGGTGCTGGGAATGCATAGTCGATGTAAACATCCAGAGCTCAGCGACAGCCTTCGTGTAGTTGAAGCCTGAGGCATAGGGGAAGTGATTCTCATAAGAGTACAAAGCGGCAGATTAGCGTTGGGAGGGGGAAGGGGGGGGTGGAGAGGTGTTGGTCATCAAGAGCATAAGTCATGGGAAGCAGGCCGTGTGCATGCTATTACACCAGGGTGTGACATTCATGTGTGCGCAGAATGAAATATCACAGAATCAACGGGCACAAACCGGGCAGGGTCTCGCGGAAGAGCACATGGAGCTGCTTCAGCCATCGCTTGAATGCCGCGACACGCTTGTCATCGTCGAGAAGGTACTTCGATGACAAAAAGAGCTTCGAGCCATCGAGGTGAGACAGATCTCTCAGCCGCTTCTCAAGCTGCTTCACAACCTCCCGCACAAACTTGGTCGACAGCTCGTAGCATGCTGTCGCGTCACCTGCTGTCGCGTCACCGTCTGGGTCTTCACCGTCTGGGTCTTCATCGGCCAGAGGTCGCTCGTGGAGCACGAACTCATGAGAGGATGGGGTCCCATCTCTATCGACCCCTTCCACCTTCATCTTCCGCTTGTCCGGGTCCGACTTCCCATGTGCACGGATGAAGGCAGGCAGATGCATCTTGTCGCCATGACCGAATGTGTGTCCCTCGGGGACACGGAGGTAGCGTTGGGTCAGGCGCATCCTTGTCTGCTCAGCAAGGTGTGCCACCAGAGTCACATCCACCTGTGACGCACGTGCAATACGGAATGAGTGTGTGCCTGTTTTTATGACGAAAATTCACATGCAAACCAAGCATAGAGCTGCCTGTGATACATCAACATAAAGCGTACTAACCTGGCGTTGCTGGAACCGAAGGTTGAGCTGGTTGAGCTCGAACAGGACGTCCGCCAGGAGCCGCAGAAGCCAATGAAACTTGAACGACGTTGCCACTTCGTACAACTTCGGCGACTGGTCCTTCATCAACACAATGGCAGCCGGGAGCACTTCCAGCAGACGAGACAAGGCTTCCCTGCGAGATAACCACCGCACTGTATGGATGCCTTGGACTTCAAGGTTGGTTTGACAGAAGGTGAGCTGTAGATTCATGAAACGCGCGTGCTGGACGTTGCTGTTGGAAAGAAGGGAGGCAAACCCGCGCACGACGTCGTCGACCATGTTGAGTTCCTTCACCACAGTCGCAGCATCTTTCGCCGCCAGAGCTTCACTGCACGACAGTGGGTGGATCGGTGAAGAAGGGAACATTTTGCCCACGCATTAGGAGAAAACGTGGATTGAAGATAAAACACAACCAAGCCGAGGGGTAAGGCGGAAAAAACAGCACATCATAAAGACGAACCGATGCGCTATGCAATGTGTGGAAACGAGATGAGGAATGTTGGCGCGGAGACGCGCGACCACGCCATTGTGAACCCCGACCATCACGCTCGCGCCATCCGTGGCGATGCCGACCATCTTCTGCAGGTCCACACCAATATGCTGCAGGAACTGAACAACAACTGATGTGAGCGAAGCCGCGTCAGTCCGCTCAACCGTGAGAAGTGTTAAAAACTCAGTCGCGACCACCGTTCCCTTGAAGAAGGTGGCATAGATGATCAGGTGCTTCCCGTGGATGCGATCCGTGCTCTCGTCGATGCCAATCCCGAACCACGGTGAGGTCAGGAGGTGCTGCAGCTGCAGGTCCTGCAGGTAAGTCGACATCGATCTAATCTTCTCTTTGAAACCGTAGCTGCAAACACGAGGGACAGATGTGGAAGTATCAGTAGCTGCCGATATGACAGGCAATACAACATGCTAGAAAAAAAACAGATGCATTTACTTACTCCGTATAGTACGCGCCGTAGCCACCAGTGGGCGGAAGATCGGGTAGTCCCTCTCTGGCTAGGAACCAGCAGAGAGGAACAAACAGGGCGATTGGAGCATCCGCCTTACAGATGAACATGGCGATGTGCAGACAGCGGATTATGTGACGTGTTGATGCGTCCGTGGCTTGCCAACGCGTCAGAGTAAGTTGACGCTCACGACGCGCCTCAGCCTCAGCTTCCACCTTCAAGGCGGCCTTGTGCGCCCGAGTCGCAACATGGGCGCGCATGCTGCCAAGCTGAAGATCGCGGCCACCCTCGCCCTTGACGCCGTACGTCGTGTTGGCAGAGGGATCGCCATGCAGCATGCAGACGTTGCACTTCAACGAGGGGCGGCCTGCTTTCGTGCGATGCAAACGAAGCCACGGAAAACGGGATGCCCAGTCAGAATCAAAACGGTGTTTCATGATTGCATACTCAGCGTCAGCATCCGATTTGGGTAACTCCTCATCAGCATTCACAAGCGGTGCTGCACGAGGAGGACTTGGTGGTTGGCGTGGGGGCTTTGCACCCCACAGAAGCTGCTGGGTGTATTTCACACCACCGGTGCGAGGACGCTTGGCAGGAGCGCTATTCACCGTTGACGGAGTGCTCTCGCCGCGGTTTGAAGGGCCCTCGTCACCACCAGGCACAAGAGTCACGGACGGGTGTGGCTCCACGACAGTCGGCGAGCTCGGTGCGCCCCACGCATACACCATGCCGACTGAACGGACTGGTGATTCGGGGCGAGGAGGTTCGTTGACAGGAGTGGCATAAGCTTTGCCAAGGCGGGGGAAAACCCCGAGCACAGAAAGTCCATTGCGAGGAGAAGCAGGAGCTTCTCCTGATTCCTCGTCTGGCATGGTAAGGTGGTGCTAGTGGAACTGAGAGGCGGATGGAAGACAGGGTGGAAGAGAAAGGGGTGTATGAAAGAGAAGGCTCTAGATCGAAGGGTTTGTCCTAGGGGAAAGCGCAGCCAAGGAAGCCCCACCACCCACAGTCTGCAAGGACAGTCCGTAGCATGGTGGTGTGGGCTCCCTTGCCGTGCTGGATGTAAATGCTGTAGAGGCAGCGAATCACTTCTTCTGTGGTGTGGTCTGTTTTGGCGAGCTGACAGCGCGACAGCAACTGGTGGGGCTGGTTTTGTAACCATCTCGGACTAGTGGCCAGATGGGCCTTGTTGTACCGAAACGACGCGAAGAAAGTCTGTTTCAGTGCATTTCAAAAAGTACCCTGACGAAACAGGGGAAATTAGGCCTGATTTTGCAAGTGTATTTCAAAAAGTACATTTTCACAGTCAGGGTCAAAAAGTAAATACACTTACTGAATCAGGGCAATCCTGGAAAAGCGGCCCATAGCAATGGTAGAAAGGGTAAAACACCCTTGAATTTTGGGCCCTGGTAGGGGGCCGCGTAGGGGCCGTGTAGGGGCCGCGTAGGGGCCGCGTAGGGGCCGCGTAGGGGCGGGGCCGCGTCAGGGACGGGTCCGCGTCAGGTACGGGGCCGCGACGGGGCCGTTTAGGGGCGGCGTAGGGTCGCGTAGGGGCCGCGTAGGGGCCGCGTAGGGGCCGTTAGGGGCCGCTAGGGGGTCGCGAAAAAAAAAAAAAATTTAGGGCAGGGCGCGAGACGCGCTTCGGGCAGCTAAAAAAAAAAATTTCTTATGGTGGGCCCTTAGGAAAAAACGGTCCCATGAGGGAACCCGCTCTCTCTATACCATGTGAAGATTGAAACAGGAATGAATGAACTAGGAAAGTGTGAGATACAAATATGAAAGCTGTACCCCTTAGTGTCTACCCCACTACAGCCTACATAGGCTAAGGCATATATATCTGACATGGGGCATACTCTAAGGGGTACAACAAATTAGGTCAACCCTACTTGTATCGCCTTGCTGCATAGTTCATTCATTCGTGCCTAGTGATTCTGACACACACATCATTTGCCAATTGTCAGCTAGGCTCAGATTGTTTTAGCCCCTAATAATAAGAATTAAGAATATACCGTATTGTTACCGTATTCTCCCGGAAAAAACACCCCCCCGTAATTGTACACCCCCGGGTAGCTTGTGCGGGGTGGGTGTTATGATAGACCTCGTTTCTACTATACCCCCCTTTTTTGCTGATTTTCTATAACACCCCCCTTTTCTTACGAATTCGTTATAATAGTCGTTAACGAGTAGCTGCAATATTGAAGAATATCGCGAAAATTTCTCCCTAGATGAAATTTCGCGGTACATTCACTTACAATCTACCGAGATTTCCCCCCTCGCACTACTTAGCTGTGACCACGTGCAGGCGAATCTTCCGCTGCAAGTGGCAAGAGAGGTGCCACATGTCATTTTCGTGGGGATGATGAGATGAAGCTCGTGGCCGAAACCCACATTCGCGCCTCAGACAGTGATGTTAAAATGAAAATCAAAACACCCACATTGTCTAATTAAATAAACACTAACACTAAAATATACCATATGTAAAGACCCGGGTATTATGTATTTCTTTCCTATGAGGAGACCCCCCCCATTTTTTCCCTGTATTTTTAGCTATACCCTAGGGTGCTATGTCCAGGAGAATACGGTAAGTGAAAGGAAGAATTCTATCCTAGAAGCCTACGGTATGTTAGCATTCATGTGGTTGATGGCACCATATCTAACAAGTAGGCCTGAAAGTTGGCATTTGGCGTCACTTACGGAAGTAGGTCTGTTACGGTACCGGTAGTCAGGGCTCTCGAGTGTGCATGCATGCCTGCATTCATGTGGGTGCGCGCGAAAATATGAAAAAGGGCAATACAAAACCCTCAAATCTTGTTTTCCCCTTTCAACACCCCATCCCCCTACTTTTCTCCCTCTTTCTTCTCTACTGCACCTCCCTCCCTCCCCTCTGTACTCCCCGCTCCCCTCTCTCCCTCACCAGTCCCACCACCACCCAGCAGACCCTTGGCCTCAGCTCTCGCGAGCACGAAATCAGGGTAGTTGCGGTCGTTGAGGTTGGAGAGCCACGTGGCAAACACGTGGCTCTTGCGCTCCGTGCTCACGATGTGCGGGTACACCACGTCCTCCTTGAACCTCTCCGCCTGCTCTCTGAAGGGCTCCAGTGTGACGAGCGGGTGCGAGGCGGCCCACTTGTTGTTGTACGCGGGGAACATGCACTCCACCAGGAACAGCCCCAGCTCCGGGGCCAGTGGCACATTGTACCGCTTGTCCCTGCAGGGCAGGCAAGGGTGGCAAGGGGCAGAGAGGGCAGCGGAGGAGAGACATGGGGATGTGGGGCACTGGGCAGCGGATTGTGGGACAGTGGACAGCATGGCAGGATATCACACATCAAGCCATCTTCCGTACGCCCGCACATCAAACCCTGCCCAAAAGAGCGCACAAGACCCACAGGACCTCTCACCTCCTGAAGGCATCGGTGAGCATCTGCTCGGGCGCATGCCCCCTCATGACAGCGAGCACCATGCCGACCATCTTGCGGATCTGGTGCAGCATGAAGCTCTGCCCCACCACCACGCACTTGACGCACTCCATGCCCTCCACCTGCGTCACGCCCTCCGCTGCGAACGACACGATGTAGCGCTTGGCCGCCGCGTCCTTGGCGCTGACCTTGACCGTGTAGTTGTGGAAGCAGTGTGTGCCCACGAAGAGGGATAACAGGTGGTTCAGTCGCTCCAGAGCCGCCGAGTCGAACGTGTAGGGCGGCGGGGTGAACACGGCGGGAAGAGGGGCAGGGAGTGTGGTGGCCTTGGGATTGTCTTGTGCTTCTGCTGCTTTGTCGTCTGGCTTGTCTGTTGATTTGCTCTCTGCTTCTTTTGTGTTGGTTGCAGCCTCGGATGGCTTGTCAGCAGCTGCCAAAGCATCCTCCTTCCCCTTCTCACCCTTTCCCCCTTCAGCAGCTGCAGACTCCTTTGCAGACCCGCTCTCTTCCTTCCCCTCAGCCCCCTTCTCTTCCACTGTCCCCTCCGCCGCCTCGCCCCCTGCCTGCCCGCCCTGCCCGTCCTGTGCGCCCTCGGGGTCGGAGATGAGCCCCATGCGCACGAGGTACTCGCGGTCGCGGTGGGCCAGCGGGTTGAAGCAGAACGTGGGGATCACGTACTCGTACCTACCCAGGCGGGCGAGTGTATACGAGGAGGGGGGAGAAGGGGAGAGTGGGGGGAGGAGAGGGAAGGGGGAGTGGGTACGGAGGAGGGGAGGGGAATGGGAGCAGAGTGTGCGGGAATGGTGGAGGGGAATGAGGGAGATGAGGCGTCATTTGCAGGAACTCTGTGGCTGTGGGCTAGTGGGTTGCCATTGGGCGTGGGGCTGGCTGCTTTTTGTCGCCCACTGAACCAGCAGCCAAACCAGCAGCCAAACCAGCAGCCAAACCAGCAGCCAAACCAGTGCCAGCTCCATCAGCTGCATGAGGAGTCGGTCAGCTGCATGAGGAGTCGGTCAGCTGCATGAGGAATCGGTCAGCTGCATGAGGAATCGGTCAGCTGCATGAGGAATCGGTCAGCTGCATGAGGAACCGGTCAGTCGCTCATCTGCGCTCGACACATTATCCGCACTGTTGAAACATGATTCTTTTTCTATATCTGCTGTGCAGATGTCTTATTCGAAGCACAGGCCCTTGTCACAATCCCTTTGATATCGCCACGCACATCCTTAACCAACTCGTAAAACATTCATTCCAGTGGCCACAAATGCGTTATTCGTAGTCACGCACCTGCGTCGGTCGCACTGGTCCTTGGCATTGAACCCTGCTGTCACTTTAACGAAGCCCAGCAGCCGCACCTGGTGATGGCACGGGGAAGATGGGCGGAGGTTTTAGAAGGGGACAGGGGAGGGGTAAGGGATGGGGTTGAGGGGAAAGAGGCTTGGAGAAAATGAGGGAGAAACGCATTCGCAGTCGAAAGCATGTGCCACGCAAGGCGGTGCTGGGCTACGAAACATCTCGGTACATCTCGGAAAACAGCAGCACTACAGCGAGGTTCGGGGTTTGGGGTTTATGCCCTCCACTGACTAGGCGTGGGGCTCACGAGAAATGGCAACGTGAGGGCACTCGCCTGCTTCGGCAGATGCTTGTTCACTCGATCCACGAAGCCCGGCGGGTCCAGCACGAGGCGCACGGACACCACCTGCCCGAGCGCGCTCACGCCCTTGTCGGTGCGCGCGGATCGCATCCAGTCGATCTTCCAGAAGTCCCCGAGGTCGTTCTCCAGTATGGCCCCCGCTCGATACAACGCCTTTTCCAGCTCCCCCTCGATCGTGCGCGCCCCAGGGTTGCGCTGCATACCCTGGTAACCCGCGCCGCAGTACGCGATAAAGAGCGCCACCTTCTTTTTCTTATAGTGTTTTCGGTTGCGCTCTCTGTTTGCGTCCTCGTCTTCCCCCTTCTCGCCATCGGCTGCTGTCTCCGCGACCGCTTTTCCCGCTGTTTTTGCTTCCTCCGACGCTCCTGCCTCCAATTTCAGCCGCTTCGGTTCTCTTTCTGCGTCATTCTCCCCCCGTTCGCCTTCATTCTTATCTCCGGCATTGCCATCTAAACTTGCTATCTCCTCCGTCGCTCTCGTGCTCTCCCCCCCTGCCTCTCCCTTCCCTTCCATCATCTAAAAAAATCGTGCTTCAGAAAGTTACCCTCTGCTATTGTCAGAGTTGCAAGCGGATGTGTTTTTCACGAGTTGGGTTCACGATTATGGGAAACATTCGTCGGCATTCGTCGGCATTCGTCGGATGTGTCTTTCACGATTGGGTTCACGAGACGGTTTGACGTTCGGCATGTGTTCGTAGGTTCGGCACACATATGTTTCGGTACAAGTGTCGATCGATCGCCATATCGATCCGCCACAGCATCATAAACATGCTCAATGTATATGAAATCTTCTCAACCTTCTAAACCCAGGAAAATATGAATCCTGGAAAATCCGTTCCGTCGCTTTTACCATGTCCTGGTAGAGTAGTGTGAATCTTGTTGGAATAACAGAAAGGTTATCGTAACATTCCCGAAGGCTCTCCACCCACGCGTCACTCCATAACGAAGCAGCGCGTCTATACTACCGTCATCGTCCGGATATATCAGACATATATGTCTTATCTCGTACACTAGAAAAAATGCTTGGGTTCTCTTGTATTTGGGGAGGGTTTGGGTGTCTTCAGTCTTATAAATGGAAAATTTTTAAACTACTTCAAAAAAAATTCACACATCTTGAAGAGAGTTTCTCATAATGAGTGGAGATGTTGCGAAGGTGCCACTTCGGCAACCATTGTTTTGGAAGCCACGTCATGGAAAATACTTGCAAAGGCAAATTTGGTAGTACCTGAGTCAGCACGTGGAAGAATTCGCGCATCGCAAGGGTAAAAATGTACGCGGTATTTCAAGTTTCACTATAATGTATTGCAGTTTCGATTATACGAGACATATGTCTTATCTCGTACACACAAATAGGTGTCTTATAGTGAGGCTAGCCTGTTTATAAGAGACATCCGGATAATAGACAACCCCTGTCTACTATTCAACACTGTCTACTATCCGGGCGATGACGGTAGTACCGCAATAGCTCATATAGAGCATGCGGAAGATCGAGAGATACCCGAAGGTCAACAGTCGAAGACATTCAACGGTCGTGACTCTTGACCGTCCAGTAACCGCACTTGGTAGTTACGCGACGCAACATGGTAACAGTCAAGAATAGCAATAGTCGTAGTTACTGTAGCAATGTAATTCAGTTAATAAGGGAATGTACCCCTTAGAGTACATGGCTAGCTAGTTTGCTATTTATACCTTTGTACTCCTATCTTATAATCATCTTGTTCTCTTTCAACTATTATCAACAAGGTCACTACAAAGACTTCATTGTCTTTCTTCAACTTAGCAGACTTATCCTATCCACTTCGATCCTTTAGTTATAACAACAAATCTCAGCATGCGTCTCAACGTGGATTCTCCCACAATATAGGAACGTTCCAAAAGCTATATTGTATTTCCCAAACGAAGGGTTTTGACGCAACTCATACAGTGGGAAATCTGTATCGAGGATGGATATGTGGTTCGCCAGTAGAAGCCCCCGCGTCACCCAGTATAAGCCCCACCGGGCCCCTCGTGTCGCCCCCTCTTTACCCCTCCTTCCTTACCCCCCCACCCCCCACCCCCTCCCACCCCCCCCCCCCCCCCCCCCCCCCACTCCCCCGCCCCGCTCCCGTAGGCCCTTCACGTCGCACAACTTCCTTCGCCCCTCACGCCCCTCCTTTGGCCCAACGCACACCTCCCTCAGCCCATCGCGCACCTCCCTCAGCCTGTCGCGCACCTCCCTCAGCCTGCCACGCACCTCCCTCAGCCCGATGCACACCTCCCTCAGCCTGCCCCGCATCTCCATCAGCCCGTCGCGCACCTCCCTCAGCCTGCCGCGCACCTCCCTCAGCCTGCCACACACCTCCCTCAGCCCGTCGTGCACCTCCCTCGGCCAGTCGCACACCTCCCTCAGCCCGTCACGTACTTTCCTTTGCCCGTCACACACCTCCCTTAGCCCGTCGCGCACTTCCATCAGCCCGCCGTTCCCCTCCCTCAGCCCTGTTGCGCCCCTTCCTACGCCCGTCGTGCCCCTCCCTCAGACCCGACGCACTAGTGAGCTAACTGCCCCGCCACCAATATTGCTAGTGTGCTAGCAACAGCAGGCCATCACACAGGCACCGCACTAGCGCGCTAGCAGCAGGCCCTGTGGAGAGTCACTACATAACCGGAGTGGACTACGGAGGAAGGCACGGGGTTGTGTGAGTGATCGCAGCGTTCTACTAGCGTTCTCACTACTTGCTGTGTTCACAGAGAAATTTGGCAAGAGTTTCACTAGAAATTTAGAAGAGCAATAGATTACAATGAGGCATGCAAGACAATATAGCTAGAATGGCATTGCAACACCTAGCAAGCCCTCTGCAGGGCGATCTCTGCCAGTGCATCAGAAGAGCGGATAGTCAACGCTGCTGTAGGGGCTTTAAGCCAGCGTTGCCAGCCTATTCTGCCAGCGTCGCCAGAGTATTATGCCAGTGTCGCACCGCAGCGGTCTGGCAGCGCCGCAGGGGCAGGTGAGCTTCTGCACATGTGCGCACCTACCAAGTAGGAGCAGATAGACGGTTGTGTCGCCAGGCACATTGCGCAGGTGCCAGGTAGAACACGTGTCAACGGTTTTGTCAGCCATGCACTGTAAAAAACGTGATGCCGTTCAGCAGGTTGACTTGGTGAAAACCTCCTGAGGTGAAGTTCGCGCACATCTGCGACCTTCGCAGTCGAGCAGCTTTGGTCGGCTGGTTCGACGCTACTTCGTCGAACAACGTTCGTCGAGATGAGCCCGTCACGCAAAGCTCGCCGACGGACTTGTCGTGCAGAGCCTCTCGACGGACTCGTCTACGCAGAGCTTCTTGATGGACTCGTCGCGTAGAGCCTCTCGACGGGTTCGTCATGCAGAGCCTCTTGATGGACTCGTCGACGACCGTTGTCGTTGACCGACGAATTCCGTAGAAGGTGTCGACCAAATCCCATCAAGCAGGACTTGCTCGACCATCACCTCCGTCGACCAGCAGAAGCCTACTCGACGACCACTTCGTCGATGACTTCTCGTCGACGGCGAGATCGGATGCGCCCAAGCGACTGCGGGGCCTTTCTCTTCGACATGCCCCTTAACCTCCATTTGCCGCCCTTAGCCACTATATGCCGCACTTAGACACCCTTTGCCACCCCGTTGCTGCCTATTGCTGCCCATTTTGGCAAAGAAACTGGGCGGAGTTTATGGTAATCGTTACTCTTTCTAGTATGTGTGCTTTTTTTACATGTAAGGCTACACTATAGAGCGTACATTACATCAACAGTCAAAAAAGTGGCTAATATGCCTATTCAGAACAGAGTACAGCCGTCCTCATCCTGACAATGCACGGTGGTATGTGAGTGGTACTCGGGCTGGCCTAGATAGAGGCAAAGCCTCGCTGCCCCAACGAGGTCTCCCAGTTACGCCCCCTCCTCCTTCCTCGTTCCCACTCGTCTCCTTCACCACAATCCCCTACGTCGTCCTCCCATTCGCCGCCGCAGCCTTCGGTGCTACCGCGGCAGGTCGCAGTGGACTCTGGGGATGCTGATGCATGAGGTGCTGTCCTGGGGGTGCTATTTCTGGGGGGCTGCCATCGAGGGTGCTGCTGGTGCTAGAGCTGGGGGTGCTGGAGCTGGAGGTGCTAGTTCTGGGGGTGCTGGTGTTGGCGGTGCTAGTTCTGGGGGCGCTGATTCTGGGGGTGCTGGAGTTGGCGTTGCTGGTTCTGAGGGTGCCGAAGCTGCGGCAATTGCCCCTGTCATCCCTCATTACCTGACAAGGTTCCAGCTTCGGGAGAAATAGCAGAAGCAGCAGCTGCAGCAGCCGTAGCAGCAGCGGCAGCTGCAGCCGCCACAACAGCATCGTTCGTCGCCACCTGTGAGTGGCCTTTGACTCCTTGTTCTTCCTCCTCTTTTGCCAGGTCACTCTTCGCCTTCGCCATAGTACAATCCCCCATTTTCTCTTCTGGGTGTGTCTTTGGCTCGTTCTCCTCGTTGGTCACTACTGTCTCCCCATTTGCCTCCTTCTTTGTCTCGTCTCACTTCTTCCTTGACTACTCGTTGTGACCCTCATGCTCGTCCCTTGTCTCCTATTTTTGACCTCCACTCCCTATTCCTTCATACTCTTCTTCGTCGTGTCCCGCCTCCTTTTGTCCTCCCATTACCTATGTCGTCTCTCACTGTTTCTTCACGGGCTCTTTCTGACTAATTCCGTACTGCTCGACCTTTTGTCTCTCGTAGCCTCAACTCAATCACGACTTACCCTACTACCTTTCCGTCATCTTTTTCGGTTCTTGTCGCCGTGGATACTGACTTTGCCTCCACCCTCCGCCTTGACTACGCTACCCATTTGGTGTCTGCTCCTGCTTCCCGTCCTCTTACGCTGGAGGTGTTGTTGCCCTTGGCTTTGACGCCCTAGAGGACAGGCAATTTAAGCTATAGTTCCTTCCATCCCCTACTCCCCACCTCTGTGCCATGCTACTAGCCCTTGAAGGAGACCCTGATGCTCCAGACACTTGCTGCTAGCCCTTGAAAGAGACCCTGATACTCCAGACACCCTCACTCTTTGCACTTATGCTGAGGCGGTTTTGGGACAGTGGGCCTCTTAGTGGATAGCAGCCATGGTCTAAGAGATGGCGTCTTTAAGGTCCACGGGCACTTACGTGGACGCATTTCCCCCTCCCACTACGAACGTAGTCGATGGCATGTGGATCTTGAAGGTGAAACGGCCGCCTGGATCGCGTGCTACATGGCGAGAGGCTGTAGTCAGCGTAAGGGAGTAGACTTATTTAAGACCTTCTTCCCTGCCCCGAAGGTGAGCTGGAATGGGAGGCATGGCATGAGGAGGAAGAGAAGAGCACGCCCTTAGTACAAGGTTTTAGATGATTCTAGATTGTGCTGTTGGTTAGGAATGTGCAGTCATTATTGCTAAATATATACAGGTATATGTTTGTGCTTTCTGTACTTGTGTGTTGTGACTGGTTGGTGCATGGGGGGGAGGAATGGCTGACATGTTGGATTTGGTTGTAGGAGGTGTGAAGCAGAGGGAAGTGCGTGAATGCTGCTTGCTTGGTCTGTTCGATTCCAGGAAACTATCATGGTGGCTTGCTCACAGCATGGCGAGCAAGTCATTATGCTGCGATATTTATATATTTACTGTAGTTGATACACTGTGACTGTGTGCTGCGTGAGGGGTGCATGGAAGGGAGGAATGGTTGGGGGGTGTTTCGTGTGGATGGGTGAGGCAGAGAGAGTGACTTGATGGTGAATGCTCATGCTGATTTGATCAACAATAGTATGTTTTCTTGTCATGGCATCATGCCATGTGGTTCTTATGGCATTATACAGTGCTGCTTTGATACATCTGACAACCGATTCAGAGTTTAGGGTCATAACTTGACCCCGTCTCTACCCCTTCCCTTCATATGCGTCCCCTCCTTTTCCTCACTGTTATCCCCCTCACGCTCAACTTGTTTCTTTCCACCCACCTACACCACCTTCACCTCTCCATTCGTGGTGGGAACCCTTCCCCCAAGTTTATAGGAGCCGTTTTCAATTTGTTTTAATTTGTTCACACTTCTTAGTAAGGTCATGGTTCGGAGTTCTGAGCATTCCACTTACGCTCGCTCTTCCCCCATCTGTTCCCAGCATTCCACTTACGCTCGCTCTTTCCCCATCTATTCCCATCTTCTTGTCTCTGCGTATAGCCACCACCTATTGTAGTTATGCTTCAACCAACCCAGGATTTTTATTTTCCTTTCATATAATAATGTCTTGCTTGGTAACTGTTTTATTCCGATTTCATTGCCTCATAATCCATTCACCATTTCTTGCCAGATTCACCAGCTCATATCATCATGCGTCTAGGTTCTCTTTGCAGTCTCATCAGCACATGTCATCATGCATTCGGTTTCTCTTCGCAGTCTCATCAGCTCATGTCAGATTCTCTTAGCAGTCTCATTAGCTCATGTCAAGTCATCATGCCTTCAGTTTCTCTTCGAAGTCTCATCAGCTCATGTCATGTCATCATGCGTTCAGTTTCTCTTCGCAGTCTCATCAGCTCATGTCATGTCATCATGCGTTCAGTTTCTCTTCGCAGTCTCATCAACTCATGTCATGTCATCATGCATTCAGTTTCTCTTCGCATTCTCATCAGCTCATAACTCTTCCAATCTCTCTTCTGCTTTTTACATCACCTCATGATACGTGTTGTGTTTCATGCTACTCTTAGTTTCGTCTTAGCTCTTGGCATTCAGGGTTTGGAGCTCTCCATATTACCATATCACTACCTTCTCCCTTCTCACCCCTCCTCTTCTTCCTTCATCTATCTAGAACTAATGTGAACAATGCATAGGACCCCAGGACAGGAGTATCCTAATAATTTCACATGAGCTGACGTTGTTGTTGCTGCTGTGATTTGTGTGTGTTTTTTTTTTTTTTTTTTTTTTTTTTTTTTTTTTTTTTTTTTTTTTTTTTTGAAACTACATGTGATGTTGCATCACATGCCAGCCTCATTAGCTCGCGATGCTTTCACCATTTCATGCAAATTTATTAACTCGTCATCATAAATCATTCGGTTTCTCATAGGAGCCTTATTAGCTCATCACTCTCTACCCTCACATGTCCCTTTCATTATCGCATCACCCGTTTAGGAGCTCTTGAACCTCATGCCATTCTCATAAGCTAATAGTGCTTTCAATCATACATGGTCAAACTGATGAGTTGAGAAAAAACCGACCAGTCGATGGTCTTGCTCTACCGAGTTTTGCCCCGAGTCGAGCAAAAACCTGACGAGCAATTTTCTCGTGACTCGTCGGTTTTGGGCATGCTCAGACGAGTTTAGGTGCATGCTCGTCTGAGCACAAGTAAAGCTCGACTCTCCACCCCGTGCCTGCAAATTTTGCCTCACCATAACATCAACATGGAAGAAAAGGGACTGCCTGGAACCTCCAGGGTTTAAAGGGAAGTCTAGAGAAGCTCTGGGGAGCCCTGGGAACCCCAGGGTTACCTCCACGGGGATGCCCATGGTACCCCAGTGAAGCCCAGGGATTCCCTGCACACCCCAGGTATGGGTTTAGGTGTAACCCATGGAAGCCCAGGGTGAGGGAGGTCCTAGAGGAACATGGCAGCCAAGGCCCTATTGCATCTAACACCTAATGTGACAAAACGTGAAGATGAACCGATGGATTGATTAGGAATAGAAAGGGTATACATAGTTGTGCTAGGAGGGAGGGTTTGGTTGGGAACATAGCCAACATTATTGGCCCCCTCCAGTAAGTTGGGTTGAGGAATTATTGCGGGGGCCAATAATGTTGACCAAAGCGGGTCAACATCATTGGGGGGACCAATAATCTCCCAACCCAACCTTGGGGGCCAAATAATTGGGCCAAGGTTGACTTCCAACCCCTAACTAGGGATAACCCTACTAGTAGTTGTACACCCAAACTTAGTTTGAGTGTCTATCTCTAACCAAAGCTTTTAGGATAAATGCAGGTTACAATGTACCATAAGATGATAATATGACACAACCCCTTTACCTGGAGAAATCCATAAGCTTTGAAGAGAGAAGGCAACAACCCCTGAACCAACCACTGAGTGGAGAAAGTCCCAGAAGGCGGAGAAGCGCAGAATGATTATACCGATGGAGGCCTTGGTGAAGAGGTTGTCGAGGTTGGCGAATAAGTATTTTGTCTACAGTGAGGTGACCATCTTGGACGAGATCCCGAGCGAAGTAGTGGCGAAGCTCAATGTGTTTGGAGCATCCATGAAAGACAGCTTCCTTCATGAGGTGCATAGTGCTGTCGTTGTTACACCAGAGGGTGGGACAGGGTTGTGGTAAACCAAGGTCAGTGGGCAGATAGATGAGCCAGAGTTCCCCCTGAGCCGCCATCGTGACTGCGTACTGCTCGGCTTTGCAGGAGGAGAGGGCGACTGAGGAGCGGGTGGAGCGCCAGCTGATGAGGCCGCTCCCGAGTGAGAAATCGTATCCTTGAGATCTGCGATGGTTGGGCCGCGCGTCTGCCGAAGACGATTTGCTGAAGCCTGTGAGAACAGGTGGGTCCATACCACCAAGAGTGAGGGCGTTGTCTTGTGTGCACTGGAGGTAGCGTAGAACACGCATGGCCGCCTTCCAATGATCCTCATCGTGCCTGCCGGTGCCAACGAACCACGCCAGAACACTGACCAGGTAAGCGAGGTCAGGACGAGTGCATACCATAGCATACATCAGGGCCCCTACGGGTTTTGCATAGGGATGAGAGGAGGTGATGGGAGTGGTGGGAGGGGAAAGCCGGTGCTCGAATGCAAGCGGTGTGGGGATGGGTTTGGCTTTTGATAAACCAAACCTCTCAAGAACCTTCTCAATGTAGAAGAACAAAGAGAGGGTGATACTCTTGGCCGTGAGGTCACGGGTGATCTCCACGCCGAGGTAATTGCGGACTTCCCCCAAGTATTTGCAGGTGAGGTGTTGCTGCAGCTCATCCTTGACCTCCTCAAGTTAAGCAGTTGTGTCAGGGGTCAGCAGCATGTCGTCTACGTAGATGAGGATGTAGAAGGGTGATGGGGTCAATCGAAAGAAGAGGTAGGAGGCAGCATGGGAGGGACAAACGCCAAGTGCGCGAAGGGTGGCTGAGAGCTTGGCGTGCCATTCTCAAGGTGCATGATTGAGCCCGTAGACGGTCGTAGTAGCTTCAAGATGGTGGCAGGGTCGGGGGGAGTGTGGAAGCTTTTGGGACGTTCCAGAAAGATGAGCTCATGGAGATCGCCTTGCAAGAAGGCAGTGGTGACGTCCATGGAGTGAAGGAGCATCCCGCGCCTGCCAACGAAGTCCAGGAACGCGCGAACGACCGGCGGAGTGGTGGTGGGTGAGTAGGTCTCAAAGAAGTCTGATCCGTAGGTCTATGTGAAGCCTTTCGCCACATATCGTGCCTTGTATACATGAGCTTCGCCAAGGAGTAGTTTACTCGGAAGAGCCACCTGCCTTTGACCATGTTGGTCTTAGCAGGGCGAGGGACGCCTAGGAAAGAGCGGTTGCGGATAAAGGTGTCACTCTCCTTGACCATGGCCTCCATCCAAAGAGGTGCGTCAAGACAGGCAATCGCCTTCTTGTAGGTGGTGGGTTCGTAGATGGTGGGGTGACGGAGAAGAGGAGGACTGGAGTGGCAGCCATGGTGCAGGTGATGGGGGCGATGGTGGGTGAGAGGAGGTGGAGGAAAAGGAGCTCATCGAGAGAGTCTTCATAGAGGTGTGGAGAGAGAGGAGGAAGGGGAGGCGATGGAGTTGCAAGACAGCTGCACTGGAGGCCGGGGTGGGGACAGAGCTGCACTGCTGCTTTGGTGGGTCGGGGCGGGGAGTCAGCTGCAATGTTGCTCGGCTGCGCTGAATTGCCATGAGAGGCAGGGAGACAGGAGCGCGGCTGCTGTGAGAATATGAGGGGCTGGTGCGGGGGAGAGGGGATGTGAAAGTGTGGCAGAGAAGGGGAATGGATGTGAGAGACTGGAGGGAGAGGGGGTTGGACCGTGGGGCACCAAGGATGGGGACCGTTGAGCGGGTATGAGGGTAGTGACGAAGGAGGACGGGAGGGGAGGGAAGCAGGGGCCGTGATGGTGGAAGGGGAGGGGGTGGGGGACGAAGTAGAGAGGGAGGAGGTGGTAGAGGTTGTGAAGGGAGAGGGGGTGGGGGAGGATTCAGAGAGGGAGGGGTGGGGAGCGAGGGGGAGGGGCAGTGGGGAGGGAGGGAGGGCAGGGTCATAGATATCTCATGAGGAGGCTGGGGGAGAGGGGGAAGGGGGTGGGGGTGCTGGGAGGACCATTTGGAGGGGGGGAGGAGGGGAGGGGAGGGGAAAGGGGGAGAGGGGGGGACGGTGTCAGTCAAGAGGAGAGTATGGACAGCATTGACTATGGTAGAGTCACGTTGGATATCGGCTTCGCTATCAAGAAGCCAGTCAAGGTGTCAGCCACAGAAGGAAGATGGCGGTAGCGGGAGTTGAAGGTGATGCGGTAGATGTCGTATGTGGGTGGAAGGCAGTCGAGGATGCGTGCAGTGTGAAGAGATTTATGAATGACAATGCCGCAATCGTTGAGATGCTGGGCAGTATCAATTAAGCGGCGAGTGAAGGCAGCAGCAGTGGGGGAGGAGTCAAGGGTGGTGTCTTGTAATATTGCAAAAGATAGCAAAGTGGGAGCGAAGGTCCTGTCGATCGTCCTAAGAAGACAGAGTTTTCCAGAGGCTAGAGGAGGAGGTGGGGCGGAGCTCGCATTTGAGGTGGGAGGGGATGTAGGAGAAGATGATGGCGAGAGCGCAACGACCCGCAACACACCATGCTGCAATAACCTTGTGGAGCTTGCGAAGCTCATCAGCATAGTCTTTCTCATCTTGTGCATAGGAGAGGATGCGCATAGTAGCATCAGTGTGTGCCTTCTCAGCAGCACGGTGTACGACACGCTGGATGGTGTAGGTGTCGCGAAGCTTGTTGTAGGTGTTCAAGTTGGCCGCCCATCGATCTGGGTTGTCATCATGAACTCGGGCAAGGGGGGGATCGGGAAGAGACTCTGGGAGAGGAGGGGCGTCGGGGGGAGGAGGTTCAAGAGGAAGGGGGAGAACGGGCGGAAGGCCGTTAGGGTGCTCGAGAACTATGTCAAGAAGACAGTAGTCCTAGATGATGTCGGAGCCAAGGTGGGTATGGAGAGTAACCTCGAATGACGCACAGTTCACATCAGTAGTGTCATGAAGGAGCTCGAGCTTGTCAATAGCTCGGAGTTGAATGAGAGTAGAGTCGTCCGCCATGAGGGGGAGAGAAGGAGGAGGGGTCGCGTCGCCCGCGGCCGCGCTTGGTCGCGTCGTCGAAGTCGCGGCGGTCGCCTGCGGTTGTCATGATCACGCCGTCCGCCCGCGGTTGTCGAGATCGCGGCCGTCGCCCGCGGTCATCGCAGTCGCAGCGTCCGGCCGCGTTCGTCGTCTCCACGGCAATCGCTCACGGTCGTCGCGGTTGTGGCGTTCGCCCACGGTTGACGCGTTCGCGAGGAGAGGGGAGGGGAGAATGGGAAATTTGCGGGATGCCGTGCGGGGGGGGAGGGTGGGGGGGGCGGTTAGAGGCGGGACTGGCCGCAACGGGAGTGGGGAGGGGCTCTGTTATTTAGCGCTAAGGGAGGGGGGTCGTGACGGCGTAAGAGTGCACTAGGTAGGAAAGGCGACGTAGCAAAGCGTGATGTGAGGTCCTTAGGATCAGAGAAAGGCGTGAGCCGTAGTGGCTCTAAATACCATGTTACAAAAACGTGAAGATGAACACATGGATTGATTAGGAATATGAAGACTATACATAGTTGTGCTAGGAGGGAGGGTTTGGTTGGGAACCTAGCTTTGGTTGGGAACCTAGCCAACATTATTGGCCCCCACCAATTAGTTCGATTGAGGAATTATTGGAGGGACCAATAATGTTGACCAAAGTGGGTCAACATTGTTGGGGGGATCAATAATCTTCCATTTCAACCTTGGGGCCAATAATTGGGCCAAGGTTGAGTTCTAACTCCTAACCAGGGTTAGCCTTAGTTGTACACCCAAACTAATTTTCGGTGTTTGTCTCTAACCAAATATTTTAGGATAAATGCAGGTTACAAGGTAAGACGATAATCTGACACCTAAGCATCTCATAAATTATGCTTGGCCAGGTCTGGCGCCCAGGTGATCGTGCACTTTTGGTGAAACAACATGCAGAGTGTATCCGTACCGTACCCGCCCTCTAAGAGAATCTTGAAGTACCCCAACAAATATAACCCTTTCCCACCGACCAACCAAGTCTTCTTCTTCCTCTGCAGCAGCAGCCCCTCCCTTCCCCGCCCCATCCCATCCATACCATCCAACCAAGCTCACTAGTAGCCCATCACCCACACACTTCACTTATCATCTATCTCCAAGCCCACGGAATCCTTCTCCGGCTTCTCCAGCAGCTCCTTTTTTGCCTTCCTCAGCTTGCACCCAGGGTGCAAGTCGACCCACGACTTGAGAAAAAAGCAGCCTCGCTTGTGCTCGGGTTCGAGCCTATGCCGCTGCCACATGATGAGGTTGGGGCCCTGCGAAAACGTGCGCTCGTTTGCAGCAGACGTCGCGGGTATGGCGAGGTAATCGAGGGCCATCGCTTGTAGCCCCTCTAGGTCGTTCCGACGACACCAATATGCTAGTGGACAAACCCCCAAGGGCACCATCTGCTCGTCTATGCAGATCTACACCTCATCTTTGATAGCCTGCTCTTGACGGCTACGGAAAGCCGCCAGGGACGCCACCAAGCTCTGCTTGTCCCCCACGGTACCATTGAAGACATCGGTTCCAGGTCCCCTTCCATATCTGCTGCCCCCAAGTCCTCCCTGTCGGCCACTGCTGCTGTTACGTCCTGATCCCATCTCCTCCCTTCCGCGGCCAGCCCCACCACCACCAGTCCCATCCCGCTTCAGCCTAGCCGCCACCGCCTTCTCCTTGTACGGGCGCACCTTCGCCCGTACCAACTCTAGAATTTGTGCAGCCTATGAGCAACTCCCCTCCTCCCCCAACCCCTCCTTTCCCATCTGGAAGTAGCCGATCTTGAAGCTCGGGCCTAGGAACGTGGCCACCCCACAGCTCATCCTTGCTGTTAGAGTAATACTCCTGCAACTTCCCCAGAGCGGCCTCATGCACCCCTTCATGATCTCTGGGGGGGGGGGGGGGGGGGGGGGGGGGGGGGAGGGAAGGGGGGGGACATGGTCTTTGAGCCTCTCAAGGTTGTCCAGCAGTTCATTGAATTGCAGGACCACCCTTGAGATGGTGGGGTATGAGGAACCCTCCGCCATTAGGGTGACGGCGTGGAAGGGCTGGAGGAAGTTGCGGATCTCCTTCAAGGCGAGCCACATCTCAGCGTTGATGGTGAGGTCCTACAGGCGGGCTGCATCCTTTGCGGTCATGCCCTGTTGGGGAGTGAGTTGTGGGAGTGGGTGTGTGGCTGAACTATGGAGGTTGATGACAGTTGGGTACGACGATGCAAATTGTATGCATTGATTGAATTCTAAACCCTTCACTATCAAACAGTGAAGTGGGGTGGAGTGACATCAATGCCCCTCATGCTCACCTCGACTCGCCGAATGTAGTTGATGATGGTGTGTTTATGACGGATAGCGCGCTCGAGCATGAGGTAGGTCCCAGCGCACTTCGTTGTCCTGGAGAAGACGCAACAACTTTGCCTTTGCGTTCTCCCCCCTCTGGGCTGCCGCGAAGGACGCAGTCCTCTTGGGTGAGTACCAAATGAAAGAGGCCAGATCCCGAAGGAGGCCAAGAGGCTCCTTAATGTCCAGCAGCCTCTTCAATGCTAGCTAGGCAGCTAGGTTGCTGATGTGGGCTAGACATCTGGAGCATGGGCTGGCATGGCAGATACACACCACAAGAGAAGGGGGGTGCATGGATTTGGGACAACAAGAGACACGATGCTGCATTACAGTGGAGTGGATGACATATGTGAAGCCAAGCCGAATGGACTGGTTTATGATTGGGTGGGCTGGTGCAATAGTCATCTTACCGCACGTGCATCCCTAAAAAGAGCAAGGGAGCATGTCGGTCGCTCAGCCCACCGCGAAAAAGGGACTCCATCGCGGCGACGTTGGACGAGGCGTTGTCCGACGGTTCTCCATGCCCCACTCCTTCACCACATCCTCCAACACCTCAGTAATTTTTCGACTCGTATGGTTGCCTGAAAGTGCTACGAAATTCAGTGTTACCTGCCGCAGCTCAAAATTGGCCGTGATGGAATGACCCATTACTGCCATGTAGGACCGGTGGTGCTCACCGGTCCATATATCATGGGTCAGAGCGATAGCCCCAGACCCCTCAGCAACCAGCTCCTGCTTGAGCTTGTTCCGATCCAGATCTGCCAAGCAAATGACCTGGCGGGCTAGGGTGGTGCAGCTAGGGATGACTCTATCCTCCGCACATGCGGGGTTGGCGGCGATCATAAGTCGCTGGAACTCTACACAGTGGGGTGGAAGAAAAGGTAGAATACACAAATACACACATACTCGGTGGAGACATGGGTTGGGCGGCTTTACTGGGGATGAGGGCTCTTGGCTGGAGCGCGGGCCCGCAGGTGCTGTGTCGGTATGGCAACCAGCTACAGCACGAGTAGCAGCAGCAGCGTCATGATCAGAAGCAGCAGCAGCAGTTTGATCACAATGGAACAGTCAGAACATAGTGACCCCAATAGCATTCGGATTTGGTCATAGACGACAGTGTGAGAAGGCATGGGAAGCTGACTTATCGTGGAGTGTTTAACGACGGTGAAGGCCTCGTCGGTCGCCACGACAAACTCCACCATGGCCTGCTGCATGATGTCCTTGTCGGTTACGACCGGCATTATTTTTGCGTTTTATAATACACTTTCAAATACCAAAAATAAAAAAAACAGTCTCTGTCGAAGCACTCGGGGTAGTAGTTGATCAGTTGATGTTGCCCTGACCTCACTAGCACACCGATAGTGGGCGGCACCGGCCACGTGGCTGAACCCTCCCACGCAAATCTCCCGTCAGGAGCCTCCCCGCCCACTCCATACCACCCCTGAGGGAAGAATGTCGAATCAGCAGGCCATGATGTCCATCCTTCCACTGCTGACCTGTCGCTGTTTCTACGCACCGACACTTCGCTGCCGCAATTCTATGTCCTCGTGTACGTCGACGACCTGGTCTTTGCCATTGCTGACACTGAGGCACTGACCCTTGTGAAGTCGGAGTTGCAGAAGAGACAAACCTACACTGACCTGGGTGAACTGCGCAGCTATCTTGGCTTACATATCACCCGGGATAGAGCACGGCGCACCATCACCCTGACTCAGTCACACATGGTGCACCAGGTCCTTCAGTGCTTCGGCTTCCAGTTCTCCTCGTCACAGCCCACTCCTCTGTCTACCGGCCACTCGCTCTCAGCTCCACCTTTGGACAAGTCCGTAGAGACGAGTGGTCCGTACCCAGAGCTTGTGGGTTGCCTCATGTACCTGATGACGTGCACACGACCTGATCTCGCGTACCCTCTCAGCCTCCTGGCTCGCTACGTGGCTCCCGATAGACACCGAAAGGTGCACTGGGATGCTGCGAAGAGGGTACTGCGTTACTTGTGCAGTACATTGGGCATGGGGCTCGTGCTTGGAGGACGGGGTCCAGTTTTCCTCACTGGTCACGCACACGCTTCTTGGGTTGACGACTTGGCTACACAGCGGTCGTCAGAGGGTTACACCTTCAGCCTTGGTTCCGGCTCTGTTTCTTGGCGGTCTACCCGCTCGTCTTCGGTTCTCAGTTCCAGTTGTGAGGTTGAGATCTACGCAGGGGCCATGGCTGCACAGGAGCACCGCTTCTCCACATCTCGTTCGATGTGGAGCCCGAGGTAGAAGCTCACGTCACCAAGGGCCTTGCACTTGTACTTGCCTTAAAGCTTCAGCATCACCTCCTTCACAAGGTCAGAGGAGAGTGAACAAATGAGGATGTCATCCACATAAATCACCATGAAACTCTTCTGCTCCCCCTCGCCAAGCATGAACAAGGAATGATCGGCAGATGAGGGAGTGAACCCGATCTCCTCTAAGACTTCACGCAGCTTCAAGTACCACTGCATAGGGGATTGCTTGAGCCCATAGAGCGCCTTCTTCAGCTTTCACACTCTGCCACTACCATCATCAAACCCCTCTGGCTGTGCCATGAAGATCTCCTCATCTAGGACACCGTTGAGGAATGCCGTTGTCACATCCATTTGTTTCACCACCCATCCTTTGATGGTAGCTCCTGCGAGTAGGGTTCGCAGCGTCGTCGACTTCACCACAGGAGCAAACAACTCCTTATAGTCCACCTTCTCCTTCTGCTGGTACCCCTTGGCCAAAAGCCTAGACTTGTAGCGCTCGATTTTGCTGTCGGCGTCGGACTTAATCTTGAAGAGCCACTTGGACGTAATCGCCTTACGCCCCTCTGGTAGCTCCACCAATTCCCATGTGCCGTTCTCCTCAATGCTCTTCAGCTCACTCTCCATTGTCTTCTTCCACTCCTCAGCATCACTACTCTCCAAGGCCTCCTTGAGAGTTGCTGGTTCCCTTGGCATCTCCACTGGAGAGAAGAACGCGAAGGCACACTCCTTGTAGTCACTCTCCTCGTCATCTCCAACCATAAGTGCCGCTCCGGCCAAGGCTGACTTGGCTGGATTTCCCAGCGCATCATAGGTCAGCCTATCCGGGGCTTGGATTCTCCTTTTGCCCCTTCCTTCCTCCTCTGCTGCAGGGACATGAAGGCCTTGGAGTTGCTGCGGGGTGACTTGGATCCGTGGAGCACTCGTAGTGCGAGAAGGAACTGTCGAGGCATGCTCGCTCACTTGCTGCACCTCCTCCTCTTCTTCCTCTGCATTCCTGGCCTCCTCTCCCCCATTCACAAGAGGAGATTGCCTTGTGATGGTGCTACCGCTTCTCAGCTCCAAGGGCAGCTCCACATGCTCCAAGCCGGAACTCTTCACCTCCCTAAACCGCTTGCCTATCTTCGCCTCATTCTCCGTCTTCCAATCCTTGTACATGATGTTTTCCATGAACTTGCACTCACCTACTCACCAGGGCCACATGCCCCATTCGCCGATGCAAGGTGAGCCAATCAAACTCCCCCGTAGCCGAAGTCGGATTGGAGAATGCCGCACTCGCAATAGTGCCCCACATGCTCTCTCCGTACTCCTCCGCTGCTGCCTTGGGGTTCTCCTCACCCTTGTGCTGCTCCTTGGCTGCTGCACCACTCTCCTCAAGCTCACACTGCTTGCTGGTCCCTCCAGGTTTGCACTTGTTGGACTCTTTCACCTTGGCGCCATCGTTCGCGCCGTAGCCGCTACCAACCGCTTCACCCTTGGTGCTGACGCTTGCTGCCACTTGCCTCTATTTAGGCATAGGGACCACAAGGATCTGCCACATCTCGTTGTAGACATCCCTTTCCTCATGAAGATCCCAAAGAACCCGCTCGCCAATCCTTGCGGTTTAGGTCTTGGCTCCCTTCAAGCTCGTGTCCATGCCGGCCTTTTGCAACCGCCGCACGGAAATCTGGTTCGCAGCAAGGTTGGGCACCCAAAGCACGTTCTTGAGGCCCACCATCTTCCCATCAGCACCCTTGAACATGGTCTTGCCCATGCCTTTCACCTCTGCTTGCTGCCCCAAAGCCGACGTGACATGCTTCACTAGTGACAGTTCAAGTTCGGTGAGCATGTCCGCACGAGGTGTCATGCTATAGGTAGCGCCGCTATCGATCACCCAATAGTCCAGGGAGTGTAGGGTGACCTTCCCCACAGCTGCTGGCCCCTCAAAGCCTTCATCCTTCTCTGGACCAGCCGGTGCTTGCGTAAACACGAAGAAGAATTCACTGGTGCAGCTGGTGCTTGCGTCGACACGAAGAAGAATTGACCCAAAAAGCGATTGTCCCTCGACTCGCTCTTGTTGTCACCATTCTTCATATTTGCAGCACCACCTCCGCGACCGCCACGGCCTCCACGGCCTCTTCCTCTCCCTCCCCCTGCTCCTCTGCCCTCTTGGCCTTGAGCAGGAGTCCATCCATCAGGGAGTTTGTAGCAATCGCGCCACATGTGTCCACTCTTGTGGCAAAAATGACACTCGCCGTCGAACCGTCAGCGACCGCGTCCGTAGTTCTTGTTGACATTGCCATAGCTGCCACTTCCGCGGCCTCCATTGTAGTTGCTGCCTCCAAAACTTCCTCCTCCTCGTCCTCTGCACCTTCCACGACCATATCCCCGGCCGATGCTTGCTGCCTCGGTGCCATCCGAACCCGCCAACTCACGGTGGCGGAAATCCTCTTGAAGGATTTCTCGCTTCGAGTCTTCAAGCGAGAGGCGGGGCAAGTCACGATTGAGGTTGATGATGAGCGAGGACCATGACTCTTGGAGTAAGGCCAGCAACTTGGTCTTCTTTTGCAGCTCACTATAGTTGAAATCAGCTCCCTCAAGCCGCGTCAACAGGTCGAAGAATTGCTGCACCCCTTCTTCAACCTCTTCGTCTTCTTCAATTCGTAGTGCCGCCATTTGCCGTTCCAACACCACCGCTACCGTCGCTGTTGCAGGAGCGTGTACACCCTTGACAGCAGCCCATGCCTTTGGTCCCTTCTTTGGTTCACGCTGGAATGGCTTGATGTGACGGATCTGGCTGCTCCCCAGCGCTTGCCCAAGTAGGAGATAGCCTTGTGCGCTCTTTCGCACCCACGGGCTCTTCTCCGGGTCGTTCTCGGGGTGCTTCTCCGTTCCTTCCATCATCTCCAGCAGGCCATAGTGGTCAAATACGTCCTCCATTCGGAAGGGCCATTTAGGGAAGTTGTCGCCATTGAACTTGTCAAGACCAAACACCCTAGGTTCATCCCTAGGTGGGCCAATACTTGGTTGCACGGGCGCCATAATTGAATCACGGGGTTGGCCTTGAGCTTGGGCTTCTCCACTGCCACCAGCACCTCTGCCACCCCTTTCGTCAGGTCCTGCCACCCCTTTTGTCAGGTCATGCCATTGTCGAAACTGCTTCAAGGGGCTCTGATACCACTTGTTATAGTCACAATAGGCTTGAATGTGCCTAAAATGAAAGATAGAGTGCACCGTCCGATTTCTGCACAGCGGCTTCAAACGTTGATAGCGTTCTGTTCACAGCTTAAAATGACTTGCTATAAATTGGATCTAGAGCGTCTTGATATCGCCTACAATTAGCAATTTATATCGCACAATTTCATCAGTATTGATGACGCAACGTTGGTTTGAACGAACGGCACTATGGCAGCCACTTTAGACTTAGAACACAAATTAGGAAGAGTTACGAGTTGGGAATTACTCCCAGCCTTTACAAACCCCAAGAGCCAGTGATGTGGAACAGTGCCACACTGTCCCCAACCATGAAGGGTCTCAAAAATACCCTGCACAAAGGCCTACACCAAGAGAAATGTTACACTACACATTGTAATGTAACTATTCTAACTATCTTGAAGTTTACCCTTTCGGAGAGTTTCGAAATCACTTGAATCTTGAAACCAAGGCTCTGGTTCTTCAAGATAAATTCTTCCTTGAGTTCTTGGAAGTCTGTTGCGCACACATGCGACACGCCGAACGTTCCACACACGACAAAATAGAAAACCGCACACGACACGCAAACGACGACGTGACACGCGACTAGCGATAACTCGCTATTGACTCGACACACACATTCAAAATCATGCCTCATCATTCACACACTATTGTAAGCATGAAATATATATTATCTCATGCCCTCATACCATTCCATGCACACACGCATGCACGCACACGGACAACAAGCCGAAAGCAAACTGTACGGATGCACCAACACTTCATGTGTTACTCCTCATT